CATTTTCTGTTGCTTCAACATTCACAACATGAGGAGACCAATGATCAATACCAACAGTAGTGAAGTCAGCAAAACACTTGGCTAATTCATCTTCATTCTCAAGTCTCTTCTTTTTAAACTTTCCATAACCCGGAATGTCCTGAAATAAGTAAAACAACACATATTATTATAAATATTACCAACAGAATTGACATATGCAAAACAAATATATCTAAATTTTTGAACCAACTTATAGCTCTGGCTTTTTTCCACCATTCATCATCCATAGCAATAGTCTTCTTTATAGGGTCTCAACCAGTCCCTGTTTGCCTCAGCATTAGTTTCTTCCATGCCTTGAAATCTTCCTTCAACTTGTCCCATTTGTTCTTGATCTGACTCTTGGTAGCCACAATTCCAGTCCTATCTTTGAACCCTTTCTCAACCTCAGCATAACCAAGTGCATTCAAGTGTGTGTTTGGCCAATTTTCTTTTCCAACTTGTTCGGCAAACAACATACAGAGCACCCGAGTGTTCTCCGAGTTCAATCAATTTCATGCATCTATCCAACTCACAAATTTCATATTAGAAGCCATTAAGATACTTCACTGAAATGGTACTGTCCATATTTGTAGTACAGACAACAAATTTTGGATTGCAAAATATCTACTGTGAATCTAGGATTGCAGCATAGCACACGGTTCACTCCCACAAATCCAGCCTCTAATCATACTGTGAATCAATTTTTGAATCAAAACTGAAAAAATACCTTATTCTGCGGCCGGCAGGGGATGTTGGTGCTGGTGACGGGCGCTTCCTGGGGCGGCCTCCACTAGGAGCGGCAGATCCGTGCATCCCCCGCGCCGAGGAGGGTTGCCGGGTCCGCTACTGGTGGGGATGTCGATCTTGGTGATGGCGGGACCGGCAGCACACTTCGTCATGTGGGACACTTGCACACTGACGCTCGCGCTCGGATTGATGGCGGTGGGGCTCGGATTGACGGTGGCCGGGAGGGGCTCCGGCATCCGGCAGCGTGGGTGGACGGTGGCCGCCGGTGTGGGTGGCGGCGGCCGAAACCCTAGCGGCGCCCGTGCTCGAGAGAAGAAGCGAGTAGTCGGCGTTGGAGGAAACAGGCGTCGGGACGGAGAAAACAGGCTCAGGGGAGTCTCGGAGGAAAAGAATGAACCATTTTTTTTAACCAGTGGCATTGGTGGGTAATTACCCACCAACTCTATGAGGAGGTTCAAAAGAGGTGGTTCTGGAGTTGCAAAAGAGGTGTTCCAAAACTCCACCCCCATTTGCACTATAGCTCCATGGAGTTGGTAGCTCCTAGGAGTTTTGGAGCTGTGGTGTTTGGCTGTAATTTTTGCTGGAGTTGCTAGAGTTGTGGAGTGGAGCCATTCCAAACATGCCATAAATAAAAGCAAAGTATTTGAGTTTGACTTTTAAGGTGAGGTCTAGCGTCTAGCTGAGCCGTGCAAGGTAGAGCTGCATGATGTCCACTTCACGGCTGACGAAGAGGGTTAGCCATCAGTGCCGCGTTGATTAAATATATTAAAGTTTATTTTGAATCCATAAACAAGCAACCATAAGACAACAAATCACCCCACGTTTCTTTTATTTCTAAGGCCCTGTTTGCTCAATCCAAGTGTGTCGGGATGGATTGAGGTTCAAGTTCCACTCCAACTCACCCCAACACATGTGGATTGATGCGAATCTGACTAAATCCTAACAATGTGTTGACACTCAAAAATGTTCCAATAGTATTTTGGACACCACCGGCGAGTTATAAATATCTTGGACATGTTAGAGGTCAAAAGGTGTAACAAAATATTGAAGAAATCTCGCGGAGAAGATGGCGAGCCATGGCGACCCACAACCAGTCGGCTTAACCGACCCCTGCAGTCGGCTTAGCCGGCCCAGTCAGCCCTAGGCGGCTTAGCCGACTCCCTCTTCCAATCCGCCAGGCAGCCTGGCCAAGCTCATGAAAGTCGGCTTTACCGACTCCCCCTGTCGGCTAACCCGACTCGTCCTGGATTCTGAGTTGAGTTGGTTTCCAAAGTGATTTTTGGCATATTTTTGACGTGGGAAACTTAGAGAACGCATTTTAGACTTATTTTCTACTGGGATAAGACTACCCCTCTATATAGATGAGAGGACCACGACCGATTGAGTTTCCATCTATACAATCGTCAAACAAACACATCTACTACTCGTCTTTTCCCTTTTCCAACCCCTCTTACTGTTCGACATGTCTCCCAGCGAAATTTGTCGGCATCCTAGCCGGCCTTGCTAGTCCTAAGAGATCTTCCACGTGCTCTGCCCCTTGACGGGTCTTTCCGAGAGAAGTTCGGGAGCTTTTCCGACCAAGAACGAGCGCAACATCGGCTTAACCGGTTTCTAGATCGGTTTCGTCGATTAAGCGGTGTTCTTGCTGCGTTGCAGGTTGTGTGCAACCTTTTAGACGTGCAAAGCCCTACTCACTAGTAGAGAACAGACCTTTCATCCGAGGCCAAAATGGGCTCTAGTCCCAGTATTTTTTGCGCCCAGGACTAGAGAGACCTTTAGTCCCGGTTGGTGTCTCCAACCGGGACTAAAGGTCCCTGCCCAACGGCTACTGCGCTCGGCACAGTGGCAGGGGCCCTTTAGTCTCGATTGGAGACATCAACCGGGACTAAAGGTGGACCTTTACTCCCGGTTGGAGCCACCAACCGGTACTAAAAGTCCTCCAACCTTTAGTCCCGGTTGGTAACACCAACCGGGACTAAAGGTCCCCCGATGGGTTAGTTCAAAAGAGAAGCATCCCATCCATTGTTAGATGTGTTGTGTAGGTGGGGTGGTAAGCTACGCGCGAGGCAATGCATGAGGTCTTAGGTTCAAATCTCACGGGACGCAGCGGTGGGAGGCATTATTTTTTTAAAGCTGGGAGGACCTTTAGTCCTGGTTGGTGTTATGCACCGGGACTAAAGGTTCCCGACCCGGGACTAAAGGACCCCCTTTAGTCCCGGATGCTTACTTCTGGGTGGGGAACCGGGACTAGCGGGGTTCTCCACCGGGAGTAAAGCCCGTCCCTCCACTAGTGACTGGTGTGTGATTCAGATCATGTCCAACGTTAACACGAGGCCTAAAACGTGTTGCATCATCAATGCTCTAATCAAATTTAGCCTCCCTATCATCTTTTTATGTTATTGACAACAAACAGGCACTAGAATACCAGCGATGCATAGATGACGGGCATTGTCGTGTCTTGTGCACCTCAATCTGTTCAATAAAGAAATATTTATCCAAGAACATGGCATCCTTTAGCAAAGAACACCCGCTTTTGATCGGCGACTCAAGGAATCGAATTCAATTCTTAGCACCTTTAAATAACAGCCGCTCGTCTGTCATGTAAACTGATGGGGTCCAATTGGCCATATGCTGTTCATCAATCATCAATGGTATCATATGCTGTTGCTAGTACCGTGGTTACATACCCACTTTATTTTTTTAAATATAAGTCCCTTAGAGCAAATCCAATGCAGGCTAATATGGATGTTGGCTTCAGAAAAAATGACAACACACGTAGATGAAGGAGTTCTGAAACTACTATCCTTCCATCTAGCCTGACTTCCATCACAGCCCAACTCTAAATTATGCCCTGCCTAAAAAAGTTACTTTTGCTTTGCAATGCACCTCCCTCACCTTTTTCTCCACGCATTCTCTCTTTCCACCTGAGATTCGCATGGTGCTAGACTCCCTGGTTCTCCATCGCGAGCTTGTGGAGTAGTTTCTGGTATCTATCAGAACAAGCACTCACTACCCTCCAGGCCACTATGACGCTCTGCAGGGCTACTGATCAAGTCGATGTGGACATTTGATGCAGGCGTGGAGTTTGAAACGCCCACCCAGCATGGAGCGTTGGGGCTGGCCTTAGAACACAACGATATACTCCCTTGTTCCCATAAAGAAAGACACTATATATATGATTTCTAGAATACATTAGCAATAAAGCATAATGATCTAGATACCTCTCAAAATCGCTGATGAACAGTATCAAACAGTACTGCGTACAATCATCTAGATATAGTACTAGAATGTCTTCCTTTGTGGCATAAGTTTTAAATCCTAAAAGATCTAATGCTACACTTTGGCATGTATGTTTTTTCAAAAGGTAGACCATTTATAAAAGAATATCAAAATTGTAGATTATGAAAACATTTTCTATTATATTAATGTATAAACACCAACGATGGTTCGTCTTCAATTCAATGTACATATAACCTTTTCTTCTATATATTGATGAGACAGGTTAGAAAAGATTGATGACATATAATCCTGTCAACGATGGATCTGTATTTAAAATCAGTGGGAATTCCTCCTCCTTTTTCTGCCGATGGTTGTTGCATTATTCATCATTCTTCTTATATGTATACGGCGATGGTCGATGGAATAAAACGGAACCACAAATTTGAGGTGTAAAAAAAAAAAAAAAAGAGGCAAGAGAGCCAAACGAGTCGACAATTCGACATGCACGCCGACGTCATGGTCTGCCATGCGCCTCGGCTCTCGCCTTCACCCATTCCCCGTGCGCTCCCCGTGGCCGCAGGATGCGGCATCGACGGCGCACGGCTCACACGGATACCGCCGGGCGTCGCCGGCCTCGCACCACACGAGCCGACGAGCTCTCCCTCCGCTCACCTCCCGAACCCGATGCCGACCCAACCAGCAGGCCAACTAACTCCCGATCCCTTTCCCAAGTCAGCGCACTGCGCACCTGGCGCCGGCGCCTTTAGAAAAACAGCCGCAGCACGCGACGCCGCCGCCGCCGCCCGTCCCGGATCCGACGGCCCCGCGCGCGCGTCCTCACCCCCACCCTTCTTCAGTATTTATTACTAGTGCCCCCCGTCGCTTCTGCTGCTGTTGCCTCTCGCATCTGCCCCCGCGGCCCACGCCCGCAGCGCCTCGCCTCGGCTGCTACACCTCCACCCCGCGCCTCCCCGAGATCGGAATCGCGGCGCCCCGCCCCGCCGCCCCCCTCCGCCATGGCGCCGTCTCTGCTCGGGGTCACCTTTCCCTCTCCCTCTTCTTCATTCAGGTGTGTTGGTTAAGCAGAGGAGGTGGCTTGGCTTGTTGCTCATGGTTCTCGGTGGCTGCGTGCAGGGGTTCACCAAGTCGCTCGCCATGACGGTGCTCTCCGAGATCGGGGACAAGACCTTCTTCGCCGCCGCGGTACGCCTCCTCCTTCCCCTCCCGCCTCACGTCGCCTGCTCTTCCTCCTACCCTTTTGCTTGCCGTGCCTGCCTCTGCTTGCGTGCCCCGTGTGGCTGCGTAGACGGGCCGGGTGCACTCCCGCCAGGTGTTCGACGGTATGCCGCCGCTGCCGCCGCCGCGGCGTGCCTCTTTGCTCCGCTGTTGGGTGGGACCGCCGTGGGAGATAATCGGTTCGGAGGACAATTGGCGCTGGCTGCTGGCTCGATCCCGTCACGAGATCGTGCGGTAGCTGCAGATTCTCCGGTGGAGCGCCTTGGAGTCGAATTCTTGGCTCGATTCGCTTGTCAGTTTCTACTGCTGAGCTGAGCTGACTTCTTTTATTAATTTTTCTTTAAGTAGTGAGAAGCTAGTTGGTAGCTGTAGATTGGGAGCTCGGATTTGTTTACGCTCCTCCACTTTGCGAACTAATTTGTGCGCTCGATTTGCTGCGGCCACAATTTTTTTACCCCATTTAGCTCGGTGCGCGTGGGTTCCACCCATGTGGGTGCCAACTGTGCCTGCAATTTCCTGTAGCAGTTGCACTTGCCGAATTCGCGAACCTGCCATATCGGTAGGGTCCTCTGTTTCTGGAGGACTGTCACCAGTTCTGATAAGATGCCTGCCCTCTTCCACAAGAATTGTTTCAGCAGGGTAGACTTGAAATAAACTTTAGCTTGAGGATTGCGTCTTCAGAGGATGAGGGATTTGACAGGGTCTGGGCCTAGCAAGACAAACATACCCCGTTCTTTTCAATATTTTCCAATGCCTGCTTTTGCACGCTTTTTTTTTATGGCCCATGTTTCGAGCACTGGATTTACTCATGCTCTGTATTTATCTTTGCTAGATTCTGGCTATGCGCCATCCCAGGAAACTTGTACTGGCAGGCTGTTTGACTGCACTAATAGTGAGTATATTCGGAATTTTACATGCTGACCTATGGCATCCTCTTTTTTATAATCTGTTCAATTTTTTTAACAAATAGTTTAATTGATTTAGTTACTAATTTTAGGTGATGACAGCTCTATCAGCTTCCCTAGGTTGGGCTGCACCAAATCTGGTAAGTCTATGTCAAGAAGGCAAAGAAGTTTTTCCTTTTGTGTGTGTTTGTTTGCTTTGAGGACTCGAGCATACAATGTTTTTAAGGCGTCGCCTAATCGGCAAGGCGCTACAGGCGGGACGACTTGGCGGACGACTCGCCTCAGATTGGTATGGCGTCCGCCTTACTACCATGGCGTCCGGAAGTCGTCGATTTGGCGTCCGATTCGTCGAAATCGAGCAAGGCGGGCGCCATACGGGGATGGCCACGGTAGGAAAACGCGGGCGCGGGAGAAAGGACGGGAAAGTGCAGGCGCGCGGGAAAGCATCGCGCGCGCGGGAGATTAGGCGCGCGGGGAGAGAGGAGTGCAGGAGAAATCAGAGAGGAGAGAGAGGAGCGTTCGCAGGGAAGACGGACCTACCTGCTCGCCCGCGCCGCCGGTAGAAGCTGCTGCAGCTGAGGCTCCGCCTCCCCCTCCCCTGTTCCCCATCCGCGCGAGGAGCAGCCGCCGGCGGGCTGCTGTTTCCCCATCGCCTCTTCTGGTCCTCCATTGAGCAGGACACGAGCCGCTTCGCCTCTCCCTTCCCTCTTCCCCACCTGCGCGAGGAGCAGCCGCCGGCGGACTGCTGTTTCCCCACCGTCTATACTACTGTTGGATGGCCGTAAGGCGTCGCCTCGCCTTACGCCTTACTCGCTTTAGCGTAAGGCGGTAGTTGGTCGCCTCGCCTCGCTTTAGCATATGACACCAACATGTACATGGTTGCCAGTGTCTGGCAATGTATGCTATTTCAGGCATTATGTGCCCATTTTTTATTCGATCATAGAGACATGCAATTATAGATTAAATGCTGATTGTATTGTGCTTTGCATTGATCTGGTGCAGCTATAATCCTTTGATTTTATTTCTTATTAAACTGTTGCAGCTATTATCCTTACACTTGTTCAGTATGGTAACTAAAATGCCCTTACATTATACATGGCAAGAGGATTTTAGTCAACATGACACGCTTGCGAAGTATAATGCTTGAAACAGTGATTTGCACTTCCCTCAACACTTGGGGGTGGACCTTAGTGATAGCTGTACCTTTTTTTATCATTTTTTCTTGAACCATTCTATCATTTTTGAAATTTTCTTTTAGCTTATAGCGATATTGCCTTGCCCAAAAGAATGCCCGACAGTTCTGCAAGATGCTATGACTGACTGTATTATGTTGAACAGATTTCACGTAAATGGACTCATCATGTGACCACTCTATTGTTCTTTGTATTTGGCATTTGGTCATTGTGGGAAGGCTTCAAGGAAGATGGGTACTGCTCTGCTGTTGCCTTTCAATTAACTTTTTGTGTTATGTGTTTTGGTGTTTTTGTTATCAACTTGGCTAAGCGATGCAACTCTCATTTCAGAGATTCGGAAGAATTGGATGAAGTTGAAGCAGAGCTGGTTGGCAAATTTTATCATTATATTATGTTATTTTATGGACTGCATTTTGAATTACTTATTGGCAAGTTCTACCCAATTTACAGGATGCTGCCTTTAAGAGTAACAAAGGTGAAACTAAAACTGTATCTAAGGTCAGTACATCAATCATATTCTCTCGCAGAATATTTTTTCTTTCATAATTATGTGATTATCCATTTGGATGATGTGGAAAATAGAAATCATGAATGAGAAACAAAATAGATTTACATTTCTTCTCCTATATCCTTGAAAATATTAATTTGTTATGCATTCAATGTGCCTTTACATAAATCCTACCAATTTATATGATTTTGGACTTTTGGTGTCTAGCTAGCTTATGGTTTCTTTCGTTCTTTGTATTCTAAAAAATTTCATCTGAGTAGTCCTATTTTTATTCATTTACAGTTTTGGAATAGTGGTGGGAACTATATGATGTTATCAATCATCAGTTATGACTATCTAACAGTTCAAGTACAGTTGATATAGTTGAAGCACAGTCCAAATATGTGTCCTTTTTATGGAACCTTTGGCATCAGCCTATAGGTTTTCTAGTTTTTCTAACTTCTTCTTAGGTAGACTCTGGAAGATGGCATCTTTTTTCATCTAAAATTGACAAAGAAAAAGAAAAATAAATGAATTAAGCAATTTCTGATAGCTCATCTGCACATATGTCTTTTGTTTTCTATTGCTTGTGTAGAGAAGACATATTTTAGACTGGGAAGTTAAGAAAGCTTTGCTTATTGGGGGCAATTTCCTTGTTATTTTGGTGTTGTAACTATAAATTAATACGAATTTAATTCTTATTTGGATTTGTAACTCAACCTTTTTTTAATATAGGCAAATGATGATACGAAGAAACAGCAAAGACCATTTCTCATGCAGTTCTTCTCACCAATTTTTATAAAGGTAGCAACTTCTTATAATATGCAAGAAATTGTTGGCAAAGGTACCATTCCTGTGTTTTATCTGAATGTTAACATTTCTTTTAATTTGTATGCTGTAGGCGTTTTCTATTACATTCTTTGGTGAGTGGGGTGACAAGAGCCAGGTAAGTTGTATAGAAGTACTATTTATCTTCTAGCTCTGCAAATCACCTGTTGAGTCATAAATGGATAATGTTTTCGCTACATTGATGAACCTCTTGTCAGATTGCTACTATTGGCTTGGCTGCTGATGAAAACCCATTTGGTGTTGTCCTGGGTGGAATCATGTACGAGCTGCTTCTTTTACTGGCCTGACTGCTCTATTTAAATGGCTTATTGTGTGTTCCCTGATAAAAAACTTCTTTCTGTGCTTAGAGCGCAAGCACTCTGCACTACTGCTGCTGTTCTTGGTGGAAAGAGCCTGGCCTCCCAGATATCTGAGAAGATGGTTGGAACTAAACTCATTCATTTTTCATACTCCTGTAAAATGTCCAACATCTAATTCGATGCTTGTCTTGTTGTAGGTTGAACTGTCAAGCGGAGTGCTCTTCCTGCTGTTTGGTATCATGTCCTTGTTCTCTGGACCAGAAGGAGAATTGTAATCCCTGCTCGAAGCCTTTTTCAGCTGGCTGATTAACGTATCTTTCTCCCCTTAGACCTATCTTATTTCAGTAGATGAATGATGGCGACGAAAGCCAGCCATCCATGGCGAACCGGATTGTGATTCAATAGTTTAGCCGACACATTGTAAACATTTCACTCGTCCTTCATAAATAACTACAAGTTACAGAAGTCTGTAGCGATTGCATTCTGTTTGCCCAGCACGTGAAAGTCAATCTTTAGTAGAAGCTGCCTACAATATGATGTAAGATTCTTGTTACTGAAATTTTGTTGTCGCAATTACATGCGTTAACAAAGCTTTGTTCATGAATCAAGTACGCAGGCAAATAATATGGGGCTTAGACTACCCACAACTTGAGATAAAATCGTTGCTGAAATAAGAGAGTTTGAGCACGGGGTCGAACTGGAGCAATGCTAGCAGCCCCGTTCGCTTCTCTTATAATTCATCTTTTTAGATTGTTTTTTCAGCTGGAACAGTGTTTTTCTTTCACAACAAATCAGTCGGAACAATATTTCGGCTTGTTTTTTCAGCGAAACGAACGGGGCCAAAAACTTCTACTCGAGTAAAGTTCTTGCCTGCCTCGATGCTGAGCAGCCTAGACAATTAAACAAATCTTTGTGCACAGCAGCAACACTTGAGAAAGGAAGATAATGCTCTGGCTCATTGGGTTCTACTTGTACTACCAGTGTCGATGCAAACACTGCATCTCTGAATTGGTTGTTGGCATCGACGTAACTGGCACGAGAATCTTTTCTTTGGCACCAACGACGTTGTGGCTAATCTTATAGCAGGTCTGTCTTTTCGTTGTGTTACTCCTTTAATATTATAAATGTTGGCTAGTTTTCTTTGGAACTTTGATTGTGGTGAAGGTAACAAAATAAGGCCAATTTTAATGGAGATTTTATTGAAATTTCATGGGCATTAAATAAGTTGACATGGCATAATATGCATGAAGAGAGATGATAAAAGTTTCATGAGATAAAATAAGTTTTATGAGGTGTAGTGTACTAAATGAGGCACCCTACATTTTAACTTTTATGTTACATCAAACTATTCTAACTTATGTCCTCTTTAGCCGGATTTCTTGAGGGGCTTTAGTTTTGTCTTCTTGGCTGAGGCCCTACCAAAAGATGGCTAATAAAGCGACTTTTCAAAGATAACATTTCATAGTTGCATACATGATATGCCCATCCGATAAAAAAAAGGAATATTTGAGGGAGGATGTAGCTATTCCAATCAGTTTGACAGTGATAGTGTTAAAATACAAAATGATATTAGGTTGATTTTTTTCAGATTATTACAATTTAGGTTTAATAAATGTTACAATCGTCTGATTGGTTATTTGTTTCTGAGCTTTAAAACATGATTTTCTACTAAAATTTCTTTTTTTACAAGGCTCTTGCATTTCATGAAGAAAGCTACAAGTTGTACTTATTGGAGTTTCTTGTCTGAAAAAAATTATGCCTACCAAACTATGATGATGTAGCTTTGCTAACGTATATCGGCCAGTTACATTAGAACATATTTCAGAAACTTGATGTTGATCCACGCGATGTTACTTTCAATTTTTTTGGTCCTTAGATTTTTTTGGTCCACGTGGCATGTATCGACCTTAATTTATTTATCTAATGTATTGCATTATATTATTATCTTATAGGCCATGTAGTGCCACATAATCTTGAGTTGATTTATTTTAGATAACATGTACTCCCTCCGTCCAGAAAAGAATGAAATTACGGGTTGTGTGCTGATAAAATTAGTTCATGTTTGACCAAATTTCTAGTGCATACTATTCACATTTACGACTCTAAAATAATTTATTATGAAAATACATTTCATAATTAATCTAATGATATTTATTTGATATCATAAATGTTGATACTTTTTTATCTATAATTGATCGAACTTAAGATACTAAACCATGATACTATGCTAGAATTACATTCTTTTCTGGACGGAGGAGTACATCAAGTTGTCTTTTGAGTTATCTAGTAATAACTTACAATTTCTTTATTTGTCCATAGAACAAAAGGAATTTTGTAAATCATATGGCAAAAATAATTCATATAATGGTGCAAAATTAGCCTTCTAGTCCTAAGTTTGAATTTACATGACAGTTGTTTCACAAAACAATGATCTATCATGATGAGGACATCCCAATTGTGCACGCTAGTTCAAGTCCAAAAGATACAAATCAAGGGCCACTTACAAGAAGCCGTGCCAAGAAACTACAAGAGCATGTGAGTTTATTCCTAACTGATTATAATTTTAACACTTATGAGAATATTATATTACATAAATGTCCTATCTTGATGATGCTTAGGTTTACACATGAAGACGTGAAAGGCACATGGCCGAAGGATCCAGACACGGTGCTACAAAATAGCTCCATCAGAAAAACTAACACGAGCGGACGACCGGACCCATGGAAAAGTAATGCGGATGACAAGTAACACGGACGGACAACCGGACCCAGGAAAAAGTGACACAGAAGGTCAATAGTCTGCCAGGAGCAGAATTTGGTACAGCTTCCCATGCAAAACTGTACCAATCTACAAAGTTTTGTGGTACATGCTGCATATGGCTAGAAAGCTCTTCGAGTCTACTTTTACACCCAACAAACGGTTTATCATTTGGACTTCTCAATAAGGAGTTATGGCCAGATTAGTGGACGCTGCTCTAGAGACCAACAGTCAGGCGAGACCACTTCAAAAATTCATCTTGTGGTGACCTTTCACATAGCATATCTTCAGAAACTCTATTTCATTTTCACACCCAACTAGGAGGGTTATTCCTAATATAAATATCCCCTACCTCTATGCTATTAGAAAACTTTTTGATGAATTGATAAACCCCTCATATTGTAGCCGAGCTGCTGAGTGCCTTACTCAAACCTTTGTTCTTCCTTGTTCTTCTATGACCTGTGAAGAGATCCCTCTAGGTTCCCCTAGTTCATGCTCTATGATTTCTAGTATGGCTGCACCGTTTTATGTGGATTAGTTATGGATTGTGGTTCTACGGTCGTTCGGAGATCAAGTCGAAGTCTTCGCGGTTTTGGTGCCTCTCCCCATCACTTGGTCGCATCCAACCTTTGTTAGGTATAAAGCTAGTTATCCTGTTCGCAGCAAGTTATCTTTGATTCGTGACCTACTGTCATGAAGATCGGGCCACCCCAAGGAGGTTCCTTATCAACTGGTATCAGAGCTTTCATTGTCATGGTAGGTCTCACCATCATTCACATATTTACCTTTGATTTATCCATCATTTGTTAGTGTTTTTGTTCATCTCCTAGAGTCCACTGAAAAAGCCACAAAAAAAATCCTATACCCTTTTGGCGGTACTGCTACCTTTGTGTTGTTTTGTTCATCAAGTTGCTAGTCACCATCTTCATATATTTTGTGTTGTGTTTCATTTGTTATCCACGCCTCTGTTAGTATAAAAAAATCAGAGAAAAAAAGAAGTTAGAAAAAAAGAAAGAATAGAATAAAAAAGGAAGAGAAAAGGAGTTGTAGGGGGTTGTGTTACGGTTTACTTTGTTGCAAATTTCGGTTTACATATTCAAGTTGGTGGTAATCTCAATAGCAGCAACTTCTTATCTTTTGAAGACATCAAACCACTTGGTTTGCAGTACCGTAGGCTCTCTTGATTAGCCACCTATAGCTCCACCTAAATCTGAAACCGGGATGTTTGACTCGTAATCCTTGCGACCTCTCAATCACTTCCGTTGAACTGCTACACTAGCACACTCACTGTCCTTGAGAACAAGCAAGAGCATTGGTAAGTAAGAGGTGAGGTTGTGTGATTCCATAAATTTTCCTATTCCACTTTTCTTGCTTAAGTGCTAACATGGCAGGATCTAATTTGAGTGTTCGTGGTGGTTGACACGGAAAAGAAGAACCACCGATATCACGAGCTAAGTTATGTCAATTTAAAAAGTCACTGTTGCACGCCATGGAGAGGATGTTCAATGAACATCTTCCTACAGTGGGTGGTCGGGCGCCACAACAACATAGGCCGATCAACTCTCGTGGTGGTCTCTTTGGCCATAGTAGACAACAAAATCCATATGAGAAGGAGTGCCACAAACCAAAATTGAGTGTGAGAGTTCAAAATAAAAAGATGAGAGATTCCACCATATGTGAGGAGAGCCACAAAATTCTATGTGAGAGAGATACACAAAAATTGAGCGAAAAAGAAGATGAATCATGTGAGGAATTATTTACTACTAACATGATAATACCTTCTTCTAGTCTTGTTCCTTGTGTGATGCAGGCTCATGAAGGAAAAGATGTGGTGGATTATGACCAGCCCCCAATATTCGATGAGGACGATCAAGTGATGGCCATGGACAGCGATACGTATGCATATGTTGCTTCATAAGATGTTGAAGTGATTGTGCATCAAAACCATGTGAGAATGAGAGCCACATAGCCAAATTGAGAGAGAGTTAAAACAAAAGTGAGTTGTGTGATTCCACCCATTGTGACGTTGAGAGTATCAACAATGCGAGTGTGAGGGATACAACAAAGAAAAATAGAGAGTTAGAATGCAAGTCATGTGAGGATATTTTTGAAACCAACACTCGCATTTCTACTTATAGTGTTGTCTTTCCAAATGTGCAGGTTTGTAATGAGAATAAGGAAGAGATGGCTGCTCATGACAACTCCATACTTGTTGAGAGAAGTGAGAAGGTTGCCATTCATCCAAACCAATTGTGTGCTGCCCAAAACATGAACCATGATGAGAAAAGTGGTAAGATTTTAGAAGCGTCATCCATGATACTTGCACTACCACAAAGTCTGAAAGGTAATGAAAATAATTTAGATCTGAGTTTGCAAAATAAAATTATGAGTATTTGTGATATTACTATTTCAGTGATAGAACATAATCAAAACCTTTGTGTTGATTTGACTAAAGCTCATGTTGATACAAGTGTTGAATTTGATTTTGATGAGTCTTTGTGCTTTAAATGATCCTTGC